AGCCTGAATGTGGAAAGAGATGCACAACTCCAGCTCCTCCAGAACAATCGAATAAATGATTCACAAAGGACTACAAAGAAAGTCAACAAGTGGCCACAAAAATAACAACGGAGGGAATTTTTATTTGCTCAACTCTATGATCAGACATATACTACCAGATAAAGCAACTGGGGAACTGCATGTAGCAACTGACAAGTTTGTGACAATGTTGCCACCAACTACCTGAGATGAATGTTCTTTAAATTACAATATAACAAATGTGTAACGTGGGGGTTTTAACCAGAGAAATCATACGGGTTCAACAGCTCTTTGCCCTTGATTGCACTTGAATGGTTGACGTGTGACAATAGCTGAAAGAGAAATGAATGGTCATTGTTGGGGTGAGGGTCAGGGTCAGGTTTAGGGTCCATAATGTAAAAACTCTTTGGAAAAGAAATTATGCTTCATCAGACTGCAATAGTGATGACAAATTGGGTATGATAATTGCTGCAACTATAATTGTGTTTGGAACATAGGCTACATAGTGCAATGATTGTAATTCTATGTTTACTCCGAAGTGGTGGATCTCAATTGGTCATCAACAAGCGGAGACGTGCCAAGTGTTGGCAATAGTAGACAGCACAATCCCAGTTTGGAGAAGCAAACAGGAGTACCAACATGGAAGCTAACGTCTTGGACACACTGCCCATGTGAGCAGTGCGTGACGGCTGCTGCACGCCAGCGTTTCTACTGCTGCTAGCCCTCTCTTTCTACACTGAGTTTACCTATGATAGATATAATAAGTACAAACAAATCAAAACTCACAGAGAGCTTTAAATGTGAAACAGATACAGGAGGTGTTGAGTTTAAAATATATATACTTGTCTGTGACATATTCTATAGATATAGACACTGAAACTGTAGTGAAGGGTGTATTTGTTGCTGGCCTTTTTATTGTCTACTTTTGCTGGGAACCGTGAATGGCTCACAGAAAAAAATAGGCGAGACCTCTATTCACTGGTGTAGCATTGCTGCAGCCGCGCCTGGAAAAAAAAAAGACAGCGGGCCTTTTATTAAGTGGATAAAATATGTTTTGTTGCTGCCCCCACCCACAGTTGTACATTGCTCTGCTTCCATGCCGGGACTCCTGTCTGCTTCTCCAAACTGGGGGTGGTTCTGACCGCATTCTACACTGAAAATGGATATGTGTCACTATGTCACTTTAAGATTTTCATTAGATAAAGAGATAGATTTTTATACCGTTTATGGAGGCATTCAATGTATTTACATTCTGTAAAGTGTCATTATTAGTGGTGGAGTCGGCCATTCCTGGGCAGGATTCAAGTTCTTTTTACCCTCACAAGTGATTCATAGGAAACAATACAGCATGCAATGCAGTGTTACCGTTCATTATTGTATCTCATTGATACCAGCCTTACTGTTTATTCTTCACTCTCCTCAAGCTGTATTAGAGCTGTATTATGTTACTATAATGCAAGCGACAATTTCTTACTGCTGCTGCCTCACAATACAAGTGTTTAACTGGCAAAACAAGGAGAGTTTTTATTTTCACAATACAACAAAACATGAAATGCACTGTATTTGTGTCTGAGTTTCGCACCAGTATTACAAGTAACCACCAAATCAACCAGGGTTAAAATATTAAAGATTATAACTTTAGAGGACCAATGTGTAGGATTTAGTGGCACCTAGCGTTAAAGTTTGATTGATTCAGATTGCAGCCATTTGAATACAGCTTAGCCATCCTAGTGTGTATGGGGGAAAAATGGTGATGAAAGAGCCAGTGTTGGACCCCTGTAGAAAAACAGTTTAATATGGCGGCCTCCAGAAAGAGGACCCACTTCCTCTGTAGATAAAAACAGCTCATTCTAAGGTAACAAAAACACAACAATTTAATTTCAGGCGATTATACACTAATGAAAACATACCTGTGAATGTGTATTAAATGACATCTCTGCTAATAAATCCTCCTAAATGTTACAGACTGTACTTTTAAGTATAAACAAGGAGTAAAACAGTTGAACTATAGGCCAGTTTGTAAACTGGTTCCACTGGTTCTGGTCTTCCTTCCTGTTTCCTGTATAAGCACAAGACATATCCAAAAAAGAAAAAAATAGCTTCTAGCAATCTACAAATCATAGCTGGTTATATTAAATATATTTTATTTTGTAACATGCACAACAACATTTGAACCCAAAACATGCTGATAAACCTACAGGGTTGAACCCCTCATCCTGTTAGAGACATTGTCAAATGAATTCACTATAGTGTGCAGATTGGGCTTTGTTAACACACACACACACACACAAAATGCATCAGTGTCTAAAACAAATTTGGTGGTAAAACAAAGTATACACTCAGATAAGTGGAGCACATCGCCTTTTGTATGCCAAAGACATCATTATCTTGTTGGCTGGGAGCACCGCTGTCTTACTGTCATTACTTCCTTAAACACTAATTTTATAGCATCTCTGCATCATTGGGCTGTATACATTGGACGGTAACAGGGAAGTAGGGAGGGACAGAGATAGAGCAGATAATTTGATTTCAATAGCCAGATCCACACCCAATACAAAGCAATACAAATATGAGGGTATGTGACATGTCATCTATATACTGTTTTTGTCATTGCCTTTCAAAACCTGGTGACGCTCACTTAATAAAAACAACAGCTATCCCTCTGTCCCGACATGTGTGGAAGTGAAAAAAAGCTGGATCATTAAATTTGTTTCATTGGTTCCAAGCCTCATAAATCCTAAGAAGATTATAGAGGTTATGAAGATCATGTGGGGTCACAAAAATGAAAACAACCACCAATAATATATTGCTTAACACAAACATTAAAGGCAATTTGTCCCAAATTGTGACATACATTGCACGAAAAGAGACCGTTAATCCTCAAAATGAAAGAAAAAAGCCATGTGCTTACACATATTTGAGCCGTTAATTAACTAACTCAATCTGCTTTAAATCAGAAAAAATAATGAGTAAAACTAACAAGATATTAGGCAGCACTGGACTGAAGCACACATCGAGATTTTTGGAGTATATGCAACAATTGGAGCACAGAAATATTGACCTGGTTAATTGGTGCTGACACACTGCAAGAAGTATGGGAGTGACACAGTGGGTCCCGGGGAAACCATAACAGGAGCTCACATATTATAGCGTAGATAATACAGGCTGCATGACGGCAGACTAAACATAAACACTCTGCAGGTATACATTCAGAGCTGAGGAATCTTTCCACTGCGGCAGCACGACAAAGTTGGTAACAGTTGATGTTCAAAGTGGAGCTGGGCTGAAACTCAGCAAAAAGATTTAACACAGATGGTAAAAACACTATAACACTGATTTGCAGGCTGACTAGCTAATGGCTGTCTCCCTGCTAATGTGTATAGCATACAGATTTCCCTATACTGTACGGTATTACTTATATACGCAACAGTAGCAGCAAAAACAAAGGCAGCATGAGAGATAATCAGTCTTAAGTCCTCATCTAAACTACACCCAGTCTGTCCAATGCCTGCTGGCCCTGGGGATTGTGCTGGAGTTTTAATCCACTTAAAAGCAGAGGACCTCTGCTGCTGTTTCCAAGGGGCTTGACCCACGTTGCATGTACACACACACACAAACACACACACACACACACACACACACACACACACACACACACACTTACACAAACACACATGCACAAAAACAATCAGCAGTACACGCATGCAGCTATGCACAAATTCAGTCACTCCTCATAAACACAAACAGTTTTTTTCCCCCACACATACAGTATTCATGTAAATACAAAAAATGTATTCCACGCGTTGATCTATGCACCAAGCTGAGATGTATCGATCACGAGATTTATAATAACCAAGTCAGATGTTTGAATTTTTTACAGGCGCAGAATAAAACCTTTTAATTTAAACCTATATAGGAGGCTGATGGATCGCCGAGGCACAGCCTAACGTTGGACTGGATTTATTGAGGAGGGGTCAACAGTAATTCCACCATTGTTCAACTCCACTTTCTACTGTAGGTCTGCTACAATATGTGTGTTTGTGTGTGTGAGGGAGATCTAAGTTCTCAACCTTTAATATCACAAGAATTATAAAGAAAAGGGAATTTGCTTCACTCATTCACCCCGTTGCACTAAAACAACTGCAAAATATAAACAACACAACATTGCACATATTAATGTGTTGAAAATTAACTGTGATAAAAATGTGTTTGTATTTTTTTTGTTAAGCAATAAAAAATATTTTTCGTCATGTTTAAATGGTTTTATTTTGTGCCACGGACACAATGTCATACTTTTTTCTCTTCTTGCACCAACGTTTGTCGTTATCTAATTTGAAATGTACTAATTCCTTATTCTTGCAGAGGGAGGGCGAACCACTGACTTGAACAGCTGCTTCATGACCCAAAAAACTGTCAGTCTTTCCCTGGAATAAATTGTGGAATATACCATCTTTGGGTACAGGGGTGAGCTGGAAACGTGTATTTTCGGGAAAGCGGCTGTCACTAGCAAGTGCGTACGTTGTAGAGGCATCACAAACTATCCCGAAACATTACAAACACGAATTCCTTAAAGGTGGCGTGTTAAAAGTGTCAAAAATTGTGAATGTGTGGTGTAGTTTGAAGTGCACCTCCCCCGTGTTTCAGCGCCGTGTTTCTGGAGGACCCATAGTAGAATCAATTCAGCGAGAGGGGAGCTTGAAACCGTCCACTCATGCTTTCCTCCGAGTCTGAGAGAAACACAGTTGAAGTGAACACACAGACCAGTCGGCCGCACTACATGCCCACAACAGACAGGCTCCGATCACTAACGAAAAACACCAGCAGTGTCTCTGCATATAATTACAATAACACTCTACGAAACACAATGCAAAGATCTCAGAAAAAACAACACACGTATCACTGCAGGAATGATGGTAATTCATCTCTAAAAGTGTAAGGTCACTGTGAACTCAGTGCCACAGACAGTGCAAATGCAAAAAAGAAACAGTCAAATATATTTATTTATTATTAGTTTGTGCGTTTTGTCGTGTCCATACATACTGCTTACATATGGAATTTTAAATTATAAACAGGTTGTAAATCATATTCATTATCGTACACTGTTTCACCTCCTGCAGATGTTGCGAATGCTGATGATACTTTAACCTTCATCAGGCGAAAGCGACTCAGTATGATGCTCATGATCAGCTTCGGCTGGTGAGTGCGTGTGCCCAAAGATCCCATAGTCACATGAAACTTTGTTCTTCTTAATCCGCCATGACATATAGATCAAAACTGATGAATAAATAGATCAAGATCAATGGTTTTATGTTACAAATTGGAAGAAACTCAGCCAATGATGAAGATTAAATAGTGTGTGCGACTGCTTTTAAAAACTTACGCAGCAGTATATTGGCTGAGTACGTACGCACATATGCTCTGCTTCCCACTCATCTTGCTCATTCACAACTGCTTCACCAGTCTGTCTTCTGTTGCTCGATGCCGATTAGCTCCACTGCATCAGCTGGACGTGCCTTGCTCAAGGGCATCTGTTGACAGAGAGGAGGGTGAGGATACTCATATAAGCTGACACTGTCATACGTGTTAGCATCAATGGTAAACTCAGTGAATCCACGGTAGCAGCAGCTCTGAGAGGTTTAAAAAATAAACTCTCGAGCAAGGCATTGAACCCACACCTGCTGGTTGCCGTGCATGAGTGAGAAAGTTTGACCTTTTCTGGAAAAATAAAGGTAGAAAATGTGCAGAAAACCAGCATTTTTTTAGGGTCAGATTAGAGAAAACAGTCTGACCTTTTAACCACCCATCGCACCTCAACACCTGCTTCAGGCATCTGGATGATCAGCTGATGTTAACTAAGTGGTTTTCCATCAAGTTTCATGTAGTTACGGCAGCTAATCCTGACAGTGCACACGAATCGTTAGTGTGTCTGTGTCACATGACTGATACGGGTGCAGTATTTGCATGCATGTACAGTAGGCTACTCACACCATGCATCTGCGTGAATCCTCATTTGAATGTGTTTGCACGTGCTTCATTGAGGGGTGTGTTTCCACGCCACCAGCCCACTCGCCAATGTCACCTTCATGGGTGGCTCCATCGTAGGAGCATCCTTCAGAATGTAACAGATTAGCTTTGCAGGCAGGGATGTTGATGAGGTCATCACTTCCCAAGGTCACACCTACACAAACCTAGCTATAGGCCCACTGGCGTTAAAGCACCCCCCCACCCCCACGCTACCCCAACCCCACCTCTTCAGATCCTATAGAGGCTCGATTCCACCTCCTGCCTGCGTGCAGATCTGAATAAGGCAGAATAAGCCATATCCAACAGGATAAGCCTCATTGTAATACTCAGTGATAGAACAGGCTGCTTCGGCCCCTTCAGGCTTCCTTCGCCCAGTGAACAGACTTGTGAAAAAAAAAAGGGCTGGATTGCTCTGTGTTACAACATACTGTACTGTCACTTAGAGTATTTCTAAGCTCCTATAGGTTTTTTTTAAACCCTACACGCACATTTCGGCATGCTGCATAGTTGCAAGCTTTGTTGTGCAATGATTGATGATCAGATCAGCTCTTTTAGATTCTGTCACTTCCCATGTTCATACATTTGAATGTGATTAACTGGGCATGAACTGTGTGCAGAACTTCCAGGAAATAAAATATGCAAGAAGAACACTTTCTGGGCTCCAGAAGCACTTTCAGGTCTCAGGCCCCCAAATTTTTGTTCTTGCTCATCTGTTGGTGTAACTGTGCACTGAAAGTAACGACTTTGTTCACTCATCACCGAGCAGGATCTTTTAGTTTGTGGACAAACCAGATGAATTAAAGCAAAATGTAGTTATAAACAGTTCTTATAGGTGGGAGCAGCCTTTCTCAGTCCTTGCTTCTCTGAGTCTCTCCTCCAGCAGTTCCTCTTGGGGTTGTGCAAGCAGTTCAGCATTAGTGCAACAAGCATGCAAAAGATGGACTTGTACAACAAGCTGCATCTGTATGTGTACTAATTTTCCTCCTCTGATTCTCTATGGGAGGCAAAGTCTCCCTGCTGTACAGTGCTACATCTCTTTCTGTATTCCTCTCCCCCTCCTGAGACAATGAAGGCATTGAGGCAAATCTGCTTCCACAGCCTGTGAATAAGAGACAGCCAGCTTTGTTTTGCACGAGCGTGCACACACACATATGCATGTGTGACAGATAAAGAACAAATGTGTTTGTGTACGGACACACGAGTATTTGTGTATCCATGTGCAAATGAGTGTGTGCGCATCTGTGTGAGATGCCTGCGTCATGCGTTCGCCATGTGAGTCACTTGCTCCTGTGTAGGGGCTCTAAGTAGTGAGTAAGAGCCCTCTACTCCCTCGTCTGTCTCCGCTCTCACTCTCTGGGGCCCAGACGCAAAAAAAACCAGGGCTCTGCTGCTGCTGCTTCCTCCACTGCTGCCACTACTACATCTCTGCTCACTGCCCAACAGGTTGCTCTGTCAATAATGAACGCTCACAATGTCCACGAGTTGGGAATCTGAGAGACACACAAAAGGGAGACAAACATGTGACCATGATCACCTGCCCATCTATTATTCCAGAAAAGAGATAAAACAAACACAAATGCTTTTCTCCTGCACTGCTGTCTCTTCTCTGTCAGAAATCTCAACATGATGAGGCAACTCGGGCCGTATTTGAATAATAGCTCTGTCCAGGACTGTCTTCTTTGGTGGCCTGCTGGGATAATTGCAGGTGAGCCATGGAGGAGATGGAGAACAGCAGTGCAGAGAGAGATAAGTAAACACACAAGTGACGTCTGCGGTTGATGACTAACGCTGTAGTGACTCCAGTACCCTCTGTCTTTCTTCACGACTGCTGGAATAAAGGTTGCTGTGAAAAGCTCCACTGTAATTATTCTCTCTGAGCCATAAAACATGGACAAATATTCTTTATCCAAACAGGATATCACTGCTGCTCACAGTGTGCACATTCTATATTTAAATTATTTTGGCAACGTGTCATTGTTTGTCAAGATAGGAACATATTTAGAGCCCCTTGTTCTTTTGCTTTGTTATTTTTTAGCTGGTAGTGTCCAGGGAGTTCTTTTAAATTGCAAAACAAAACAAGAAAAACAACACAAATTTTTTTTTATGTTGCAGCGAGCAGCTGTTTTTGGACTTATTCCACCATCTAGTGGTAGTGCATCTGTTGTTACACATCAGGGGCGACACACTTCTGAGGAAGCATCCTAATAACTGAGATCACAAGAGGTCAGTAAAACACATTTGTCTTTACTAACATCAGTGCATATGAGGTAAAAGTGGAATTGGAAATAAAATATTTATCATTCACACACTTGATTAGCTTTATTTTCAGAAACACAACAAAGTGAATGCACAAAAAAAAAAAACATTCCAAAAATGGCAGTTTTTGGGTGAAACTATTTGGCACAAAATAAAGAAAACACATAAGAAAAGTGCTCATTTAAACAGAGTCAGAGGTAGACACAGAGACAGGAATTAGAAATCAGGACACTTAAGACCATTCAAACTTTTGCAAAATGTACAAATACAATTGAACACTGAGAGATTAAAAACAGCGGTGGAATAACATTAATTAAATAGTATCATCGTTTGAGATTACATCTGTAGCACCTTGTTCATTGCGAGGTCACTGTCATGCTACCAGTTTTCTGTATCACTTGCTCATATAGAAATTCTTCCTCTTCAGTGTTTCCATACAAATAATACCTGCAGCACTCCAGGATGCGACACAAACAAGATCCATTAGGGCGAGGATATATACGAGTTCATACTGGAATGTTTTTCTTATTCAATGCACTTCACCCTCTCTTGAAAAGCAGCACCACTCGCAACCGTATTCAACACTTGAGACTTGGACAGATTTCATCCCCATCCTATTCGGCTCCGTCCTCATCTTCCTCTTGTTCCGGCAGGCTGCCGGGACACGGCTCCATGGTAACAGCGACGCCCATGCCGCTGCGTCCAACGGGCATGTCGGTGATGCGCGTCCATTCATTTCTTTCTGGGCAGTAACACTCAACGCTGGACAGGAAGCCTTGCTGGTTAAAACCTCCTGGATGGACACACACACACACACACATGCAATTTTTAATGAAGCTGTTAATAAACCAATTAGGGAACTGTTCAGCTATTGTGTCAATGAATTATTAAATTGTATTATTCTGTCATTAATAAATGGATTAGTAAAAATGATTTTTTTTTAAAGGCATAGTTGGGTTTTTAAATAGATTTTTATTAACTGAAGCGATTTGTTATTTCTTCCCGATCTGAAATTTCATTTGATTGCTGCTCGTCTGTTTACTCTTAACATCTGAACCATACTTCACTCTATTTAATTAAACAACACTGAGTCATTGAGCCACATTAGAAATAAAACAGAGTACAGCCCACATTGTAGTAACACAGAGGATCTCATTGGCCACCTCCCGACCCAACTGTCTACTAATTAATCAGAATAATTTAATTACTGAACAAGCCTGTATTGTTATCGCTCCCACATGCATAAACATCCAACATTTTGACATATACTAGCCTAGAGATATTAAAGGACTTTCTAGTATGGACTGACTAACCAAACAAAACTCCTTTTACTTCATAAAAATATGAGTTTGGGGTAGTGTACACACTAATGAGTGATGGTACACTTGGATTCAGACAATCCATAGTGAGTCATCAAAAACTACATGCAAAACATCCTGGAGCAACACACACAAAATAAATAATTAGGAAAAAAAGATGAAATAGTTAAATAAACAAATATAACAAGATAAAATAAAACTAATTAAATTAAATCTAATTAGAAGAAAAAGAAGAGATCAGTAAATAAACAATATTTAAAAAAAGAAAAGAAACAAGAGCCTGATGAGCCCAATGAGGCAAATCAGGTTCCTTTTATCAGTGTTAATAAAAGGTCACTGATCATATATTTTTGCGAGTCGGCGATCACAAACACTCCTCGCCCTCTCTTTCATTTAACTCATGTTTGAACTTCCAATCTCTTATATTTTGATTAATGAGTCAACTGACCGAGGACAAAGATGCGTCCCTGATGGACTGTGACTCCATGTGCACTGCGACAGAAATGCATGGAGGCCCTGGGCTCCCACAGGTTCCTGGCTATATTGTAACGCTCCACAGAACACAGCTGGCTCCGCCCATCATACCCTCCTATTGCGTACAGGTACGAGTTCACACACACCAATCCTGTAAACACAGACAAGAGATGGAACATAGAGGAATAGTTTGACATTTTGGCAAAATGGTGGTAAATATGAAGCCGGAACCAGCAGCCGGTTAGCTTAGCTTAGCATAAAAACTGAAAACTGGGGGAAATACTGAGCATGGCGCTGTCTAAAGGTGGCATAATCAGCGTAACATCGCATCTGAAACTCATTTATAATTTATATGTTGTTTGTTGAAATCCATACAAAATCAGAAATGTAAAAATGACAACTTTTTTTTTACAGAGGGGACTACTTCTTGGCCAGTCGCAGTGGAGAACTGAGCTTTAGGGGATTTGGTTCCCCCACTGACAGCACAAGGCTAGGTGGGCTGCAGTACTTAATATTTAGATATATTTTGTTTATGCACCAATATATCAGGCAAATTCCTCCTATGTGATCCCTCCTTCCTGATTCTGATTCTTATTCTGGAAAATATGAGTGTTAAAAAAAGCACACACACACACACACACACACAACTGATAACCATTATCCTGACTAAACTAAATCAAACCTAAATCTCATAAAGACAGGAGTTCACACTGACTCACCCAGTCCACTGCGTATAGTGTTCATGGGTACCAGCTGCTGCCAGGTGTTAGTGTCAGGCTGGTATTTCTCAGCAGTGTTCCAGCGGTTCTGCCCATCATA